CCCGAGTACTTTAGTGCTGGTGCTATTAGAGCATTTTGGTATGGAAGGGAATTCACTGTTCATGACCTCCAAGACTGAACACCAATTTTTTAGTTACACTGATGTCATTTCACTGAATACCAACTTTATAAAAGCAGAACCTTCCTGATCTGTGTGATTTTATTTTATATATTAACCTTGAAAGAGTATTTACCAAATGCCTTCCAAGGGCCAAAATTATGATAAGCACGGGGGGCCCAGTGATGAGTAAAAGAGTCAGGACAGTGCCCTCATAGTGCTTATTATTGGAGCAGCATCATCCAAAAAAATATAATGCGATCGATCCACATACGCTACTTAAAATTTTCTATAGCTACATTAAAAACGGTTTAATACTGTATGTAACCCAACAATTTCTAAAGTGTTATCATTTTAACACAGAATGAACATATAAATTTCTGAGATAAATTAAATTCTCTTTTCAAACCAAGGTGTGTATCTTACATATACGACCTTTCAATTAGGAGCAGCCACATTTCAAGAGTTCCACAGACACATGTGGCTACTGGCAACTGTACTAGATAGTATAGGTCTAGGGGATAAGTTAAATAGGAAGCAAACAATAGAACAGTGTAAGTGCTACGACAGGGAAATGCAGTGCTACAGGAGCATGGAGGAGAGCATCTCGGCCACTGTGTGTAGAGCTAGAAAAAAACTTCTGGCGGAAGTGACACTTCAACTAAACTCAAAAGGATGAGTGGGCATTACCCATAGGAAAGGATAGGAGTTGGGTGCTTTAGTATTGATGTTAATACTACACAAGGCCTGTAAGTGAGCGTGACAATGGTGTGCTGGGAAGACAAGACTATAAGAACTTTGGTATGGTTAGAACAGAGATTATTATGACAAGCAAGAAAGATGAAAATGAAAAGACAGGTAGAAACTGCTCCATGAGAAGCTTTGCAAATCATGTAAAGGAATTTGGATTTTATTCCAAGGAATTCATCCTTTCTAAAGACTTTAGGCCTCTGTTTCTGGAACTAGCAATTTCAAACTGAAATGTGCTCCTCTTCACTGAAATATAAGAGAGGAGTAAGACAGATGGAGATAAGGCTAAAGCATTAGAGGTGATGAAGAGTTTGGTTTTACATTAAATTAGTCCCTCAGGTCATTTGAAAGTCTTAGATTTCATAAATCTAACTTTTCAGCTATAACCGTGTTAGAATAGAAACAGGGCTTAACAAAATGTGATTTGTTATTTATGAATTATTTTTGTAGGGAACACTAACATGTGTTAGATATTAGTATTAAAATTTCTGGCTAGTAGTTCTGAACAGTATGTATGATTAGTGAAGTCCCACAGGTTATCTTGGGAATGATAAATTACTAATTTGGTAATTCCCAAAGTAATTTATGGTAGTTGTAAGTGTCCTGTTCCAATCTGCAGCTTTGAACCTGTCCTCGTGTTCACATGATATGGAAGAGTACTGGAACTGTACTTAGTTTGTCCTAGCAAAAGGCATCAGGCTTTAGGTTCTACAAATAACAACTTAATCACTTGAATTATTATGTAATTCTACTAAATATATTGTGATTACAAGTGTGGTGATCTTCCTTGTTCTAATGGATTATTAGCTTTTTGAAAGCAAAGGAAGTGATTTATATTTCCATCAATATATGGGTTTTACTATGTGTCAGGAACTGTGGCATATTTCCAGAGTGCTTGATCATCTTGAACATACTTAGTATGAATTTTATTACTCGGACATCGTACCAGGTTGAATAGTGAACCCCAAAGTGTGCGTTTACTAGATACCTGTGAACACGACTTTATTTGGAAATGGGGTCTTTGTGGATATCATCAAGTTGAGGACATATTCTATTAGTGTGGGCCCTAAACCCAATATGTCTGATGTCCTTACAATAACAGGAAAACCTGCACACAAAACTTGTCTGGGCAGAATCCCATGGGATAGTGGAGGCAGAAACTCAGTGATGTAGCCAAGGAACACCAAGGATTGCTGGCAACTGCCAGACACTTCAAATAGTCAAGCTGATATACTCGGTAGAGGTGAGTCATGTAAAAAATGCAATTCTCCCCTAGAGTCCTGCCAATACCTTGATTTTGGACTTCCAGCCTCCAGAACTGTGGTAGAATAAATTCCTGTTATTTTAAGCCACCAACAGTGTGGTATTTTGTTACTGCAGCCCTAGGAAACTCATACAGGAACCTTACCGGGCCCTCCATTGCTTTCCATATTTCTCTATGAGCAGTTCTCTGAAAAGATTTCTACTTAATGGACTTGACAAATTAATCCCTTTCTCTGTTAAACTGTCTCAGGGTAGTATTTTACTTGGAGCACTCCTATATAGTCCTGCTCCCACCAAAAGAGCTATACCCTTATAGCTATACCCTTATAGCTCTTTTGGAGAGTATAGAGTAGCTATTATTGCCATTAAATAATTTAATCAAATACTACATAAACTGGTGAAATATGAATGCAAAAGGAAAGATATATGTTATTCCCATGAAAACTAACCTAGACACTTGGAGACTCTCGATAAAGAGAGTAAAAATGTAAAAAATGCAATCAAATTAGAGGTACATGAAGTAATTATGAAAGATTAAAAAATTATGAAAATATAGAAAATATGCTCAGATTGCCTTGTAAGTACCTTTAAATTCTAACTTCATTATAATAAAAATAAATCAGAGCTTGTAGAAGATATGCCATGGGTGTGGTTTATCTAAGAATGGACTTTGTAGAGCCACAATTAGGACCCAAGCATCTCCATATATAAATACGCATAGGTTCTATAATTCTCCACATGTACCAACTTTTTCTATTACCCACACAGAACTCCAGACTATAGTTAATAAGAGGGTTTCCGATACAAGTAGAGGGAGGATGTTCACTATACTATATTTTTATTCAGTCACTTACTAGTCAATAAACTTTGTGGAGAGAAGCTCTGATCTGCTCCCCATTCTACTGTTACTATTCAGTATAATGCCTGGTATATAGGAGCTTCTTCCAAATATTTTTTGAAAAAAAATACCACGAAATGCAAACCCTCCCCCTTTTTTTGTTTTTACCTTTTCCATGGAATTATATCATCAATAAATCTGCATTATTATGGGCTGATTTGAGCCATAAAAATGGATTCTTTATAGAGAACTGAATATTTTAATGGTATTTATTAGAGCCTACACATATATGAATATTCTTATTTTTATGATATCATCTCTCATAGCCCTTATATGCTTTTGACATCATAATCTTTCTGAAAATACTTAAATTGTTCCTATGCTACATCTTGATATAACTTCTGTGTAATGCCACAGTATTGTGTATTATTACCCCAAGTTGGCAGATTAGGACCCTGAGACAAAAAAGTTAAGTCAATATCTTAAAGGCAAATTCCCAGTTATTCCTAAAATTCATGAGCTTCCAAATTCTAGATTAGTACTGACTTTGCCATTAATTAGGGTACTTGCCTTGGAGGAAACTGCTGACCGACCCTCCCTGAGGCTCAGTTTCTTTAGCTATCAGGTGAGGTTTTTTGACTGGATGACCTCTAAGATGCCCTCAGCCCAGAGTACTCATTTTTAGCACCAGAAAATCCTGGATTTTCTCATGTATAAAAAAAATGACTTTTCACTGCTCATCTTTCCAAATGGGAGACAGAGAACAACACAGACAGCTAAAGAATGACAGAATGGGTAAGGTAAGGTGGTCATGTTTAGTGAGTATAGAGTGGAAATAAAGGGATACAAGACAGAGGGTGAATTATTGCAGCCTGCTAGTACAAACTCTTTTTTGGAAAAATACTATGGAATATTTTATGATCATTTAGCCCACAATAATTTTGCTCCTACTTGACAACAAGAATCTCAGTGGTAAGTTGGAAAAAAATTTAAAGACTTGGTCAACTCTTTATATTTTGTTATCCTAACTAAGTAAAATAGTCTTATTAAATTATATCATAAAACAATCCCTAGATGAGCTCTAAATCTTGATCTGAATGAATTTATAATCAAGTTTTATTCCTTAAACTATAGATAATATTAAGAGAGAGGTAACCAATATCAGGTTCTTTTTATAAGCTACACAATTACTTATTTTCTTTACTTCTTGAGCTACTTAAGTGACTTAGTAGGAGCCATTGAAAAGAAATCCTAATACATTTGGTAAACAAAAATGATGTAGGGTTTCAGATGGCCCAACAAGATGAAGAATGTAACACTGGAATTCTGCTAAATTACTGCAGGAGTTGTATTTTTGCCTTGGAAAACTTTCATCATGGAACACAGCTGTGAAACAACTTTGGCTTCAAACAGAAAGGCTATAATAAAGCGCCTCCTAGCTAGACTTAAGTTCAAGAGGTTTATGGTGGCAAACAGCAGAAAAGATGAAATGTTTCAATAAGCCCCTCAGGCTGATTTAGTTAGCATTCACAAAGTAGAATAACCTATACATCACATACCCTTTGTTAGCTGGTTGTTTAGAATAGATGTATGAGTCACTGGATTTTATTTTAGCAGTTGGGCATTGCAATTCTCCTTTTGCCCAAAATATTAAAATGCAGAAATGTGAAACTAAGAGAGGTAATGTCAGATCTTATACAGAATGCTTATCAACCACTGTGATAGATCAAGAAATTCTTTTGCTCTTGTTATTCCACGTTTCACCTTGGTAAGCACCAATGACAAATTACCTCTCATAAAAAAAAAAAAAACAATCTATTGTTCAACTAATCAGCAACTTCAGTGTATTTTCTTAAATTGTGTGGGGGAAAGTGGTTGGAGGTGGGGGGGAAGCTTGCAAAACCAAAAGAAAGCTGGTATGGAAAAAGGATACGCAAGATTCAATCGTGCATGATTTTAAGTACAAATGAATCCCTCTGGGAGTTTGGGGGAGATATATATATATATATATATATATATATATATATATATATATATATATATATATATATTTTCCCCCCTCTCAGACATTGTTCAGAATTAATGAGGATACCTGCAACGATGCTGGCAAGCTGCTGGGTTCTGGAGATGGGGTAGAGGCTGCGTGCCTGAACGATTGCTGAAGCGATTTTCTTGGCATGCTTCTCCTCCCCGTATGTTCTCAGGATGGATGCAAGTGCCTGTTGATCTAAAGCGTTCACAACATCAGCTGCGGTGGGCATGTCAGGGTACCTACGCACAAGAAGAGCCAATTAGTTTGCTGACGTCAGTTTTCATTGACAAGAGGTGAAACTTCAGAGTACTGAAGTCAGGCATACACACACAGTCTAACAGAGCATCTGAGGTTTTTAAAGTCAGAGACTGAAATCTTAAACGAATGAAGCAGATTTTCTATTTCAAATACCCATCATAATAGCAACAGTGGATTATGTGTGACATTCATCAAGGTCAAGGGCAGCAGGAAATTAAAATATTTTACTAATCTTTAATTCACAAAAAGCTATTATTACTTATGCAGATTTCTCCTAAACTAAAATAATGGAAAACGTCTGGATTTAGTTTGTTCAAGATTTAAATTACTGCTTGATTTTATTTTTCACTGTAAGAAGATATAAAATACTGAATGATATTTAAATGAACCTGTATCTCAGGAACTTAACTAATTCTGAGATTATAAAGCAGCTGAATAGTTACATGGGAGCACAAACTGAACTTAGAAAGTCTATACAAGAAGATACTCCCGGCCACTTTCCTTCACAAAAAACTGAACAACCTTAATGGTAATAATGTATGTTATTTCAAATGCTTAATAATATCGGCTTATAAATCCATTACTAAAGTCACCGTGGGGTAAAACTCAGTAATTAAGAAACAGTACTAAATGAGCCTGAGATGATAATTTCAGGTAGCGGATACAAAGGAAAAAGGACCTCTAGCCATATAGAATAGATCACAGTAGCGGGCAATGCCATCCAGTATTCACTGGCTTCCTGTAGCTAATGTGTTGGATGGACTGTCAGTATCACATTGTGAGGACTGTGGTAAGGATATGGTAGCTTTAAGACCTAAAGACTATACCAAAGTGGGGCCTTGAAGAAACACCTGAATCCCTCCTTAAAAATACTGTACTGCACCTCGTTAACATGCCAAGTGGCCTCCAAGAGAAAATTTTGTTGTTGTCTTTGGCTTGTGCCCTATTGTGCCATGACCTTTCTCTCTCTCTCTCTTACCCTGTGTATGTGAGAAAGATAGAGAGACACAGAGAGAGAAAGAGAGAATGAAACTTTGCTTTCCAGATCTCTCTCTCTTTTTTTTTTGGCTGTCACCCCCAGACCCAGGAACTTCCTATAAAGTAGCCCTGTTTCTATCACAATAGGCTTTGTTCTTTCAATAATAGCTTTAAGGATGAAGATTTGGTCTCTACAGTCAGTCAAGATCAGCCTAGGTATTCATATTGTGCAAGCTTTTTAACCTACCAAGCCGCAATTTCTAACCTGTAAAATGAAAGTAACAATACCTTCCTCGTAGAATTGTTGGGAGAATTAAGGGTATACGCAATTGTAAAATAGAGAGTAGAATGTCTGGTATACAGAGAAGCTCAATGAATGTCCACGTCTCCTAGATCTTGCCCATCATCATTCTTGGCCTAACTGACAACATCTTAGCTAGATCTTACGTAGCTATGTATTCAACTGTCCAAACCACAGAACATCAAAATGAACCTTATTTATGATAGTAAATTCAGACCCGCAGAATGTAGTCCAACTCTACCAGGACAACTCCTAGATTAGTATGGATGTACTTAGCAATTTCTTATGATACGTCTCTACTTTTAAGTAAGACCCTTACAACAGCATTTTGCTCAAATAGTTCAGCGGCTAATGGGCATAATTTTATTTTACCCTCACGCTAACACTGAATAGCAATGCAGAAGTTTCCATTGTGCCACAAGACAAAAGGGGCAACACTGAAAAACCAATAAGGCTGCTAGGAGACTTTAGAATAGTGAAGTCAAGATACAAAATCTGCCCCCAAATTAACAGGTAAGAGATCTTGTCGGTTCTCCAGAGATCACGGATGTAAAATGACTACACTAACGACAAAAGGAAAATATTAACACAGGTGACAACTTATTTATTAACCTCTGGTGAAGAATTAGACCTGCAAGTCCTTGAAGCTGTAGATTTCTTTTTGCTGCATGAAAACCTTTTATAATCTTAGAGCTGGTGCTGAAATTGGGGTAGCACAACTACACTATGCTATAAGACTCCAGTGTTAAATGGCAACAGGTTAAGAAAGCCTCTTGCATCTCTTCAATGCACAGATATATCAGCTTCCAGGATCTGAGTGGCCATGTTTTTTGGCTTGGACTCTCTTACCCCATAACACCACCTGGGTAAGTACTGTACATACTGGCAATGACTCTCCTTTTCTATGAATTCATGTGAACCAACTCCCATCTTTCTAAATACCATATACCTTCTTCAGATCTGCTATCTACCTGGAAGCCATCCTGCTTTTTAAGATATATTTGCTCAACTCTAATCTCATCCATTATGTATTGACTTTGAGTTTAATGCTCAGGGGCAATTTTATTTTCAAGTTCTTAGGGGAAAACCTCAAGAACCCTGATTCACACTCTACAATTTGCTGAGAAGTCTTTACATTAACAATATGGGGATTTACTACCATTAACTAGAAGATTTGTTCACTGTATTTCGAAGGCATTCTCCTTTAACAAGACATAGGAACAGCAGAAATTTGCTTGACATTTTATTACCTCTGCACAACAACCTCAATCTCCAAACATGAAAAGATATTTGACCTTTACTATTAGTCACTGCTTTTTAAAGGATTTTCATTATTTTCTTTTATGATCACATTCTTCATTCTATGAATGCCAGCTTGTGCAAAAGAAGGTGTAAGACTCAGAACAAAAAGGTTCCAATAAGTATAGGTCACAATCCAAGCTACCAGGTCATATCAAAACATGGGCTATGAATAATTACCATTGGACAAAGCATTTTATGGGAAAGAATTCAAAGTCAACTCAATATTAATTTGCTGATTTAAACAGGACATTAAATTTCTTATATACAGGTCCTTCTAATAGATTGGAAGAAATTCTGGAAAACTGATTTGTCTCAGTAGAAATGTTTATGCAGGCCTAGAACTGCAGATTACTAAGAGTAACAGAATGGTTTGCTTATTTATATATAAGAAAATCTAACATGCCTCTTAGGAGGTAATCTCCCCAAAGGTGAGGCTGTGATACATAATTTAGCGGTGGTAGTGAGGCATGAAATGAGGAAGGAAAACATGGTTAAGCTTTGTAGGTACAGGTTATTCTGTCCCTGAGCCAGTGTTAGGCGTAAAGACAGGTGCTCTAAAAAGCTTCTTTCTTTTTTTTTTTTTTAAGCTTTAAAAATTAATTCAGGTTTAAAGGAGCTTATCCTATATTTTATTAGAATATGATCCTCTTTGTGTTATATGTACCTATCTGAATAATGAAGAACAACTAGTATTTCCAGGGTGGTGAGAAAAGAAGAGCAGGTGTAAAGCTGTCCTATACAGAGTACTATGTTGATACAGTACCATAAACTATAGTTTCTCTGGAGAAGGTAAACCAAAGTGATGGTACAAGAAACAGGACAAAACATGCAATCGCTGACCTCTAGAATCTTGCACTTTATACAGTATTCAAAAGAATATGCATTAAATATGTTCCTTTTACATTTCACAAGAGGCATAGTTAGGCCTGCATAGAAATGGATCCATTGTTTCAGTATCACATTTATCAATATTGTTCGTAGTCTAAAAGTCCATGCTTATCTATAAAAAAGATGAGTATGAAAGTTACCCTCTTCACTATTTTGTGTAAAGACAGCAATGACTTTTCTTTTAGAATCTCAAATCTAGAGAAACACTAGTCTATAATGAGTAGCAAACAAAACTGATTTATTATGTATGGATAGTGTTAGGTGTGGGCGTGTGACGGGAATTCTGCAGTCTTAAAAGGAAATTAAATCCAGAGTGTTTCTGCAAAATTGATTTCTTGTTGTGAGGAGAAATGCTTTATCGATACTCACCTGCCACCATCCATTCTCATGTCCAAGGGGCCGTCCTTCCGAAGGGAAAAACCTCTTTCAGGAGCATCAAGTTGCATGGAGGAACACCCAGGATCCAGAAGAACTCCATCCAAGGTCCCTGGCTGTACTCCAGCTTTCATTAATAAGGCTTCTGCCTGGCTGAACTGGCCTAGCAGAGCTCGGATCTGTTTACTGTGAATAAACCCAGGAGATGGAGAAAAGACTTTGTTATATTAAATTCTTAAGGTCCATGATCAATGGAAGGAAGCACAGCCCATTGTTAGTTTATTTAACCAGAATGTATTTACTAAGGACCAAATACATGCTTAGTACTAAATAGAGACATATGGAAATGGAAATTTTACATCCTTGGTTTCAACACCAGAGGTGATTTAATGTAATTTATTTTTGCTTATAAACACAATGTATTGTGTACTCCTGTGAAGGTTACAATAAGTTCATGAATTTGCAAAATTCTTTTGTGAGACCATTCATTTTTTCTTTAAAAATAATTTTTTCCTTAAAAAAGCCTATATACCATTTATCATAATAATACATTTAGAGATAACAAATGCTGGTGAGGATGTGGAGAAAGGGAACTGTGTACTGTTGGTGGGGATGTAAATCTGTACAACTACTAAGGAAAACAGTATAGAGCTTCCTCAAAAAATTAAAAATAGAACTACCGTATGATCCAATGATTCCACTTCTGGAAATATATCTAAAGGAAATGAAAACAATCTGTTGAAGAGATATCTGCACCCCCGTTTTCATAACAGCATTATTTAGAATAGCCAGAACATGGAGACAACTTAAGTGTCCATCAACAGATGAATAAAAAAAGTTGCATACACACATTCACACACAGCCAGTGGAGAATTATCCAGCCACTAAAAAGAAAAGAAGGAAATCCTGTCATTTGTAATAGCATGGATGGACCTTGAGGGCATTCTGCTAAGTGAAGTAAGTCAGACGAAGTCAAATACTATATGATCTCATATGTGAAATCTTAAAGAGAGAGAAAACCAAACTCATTTTTTTAAAAAAAGATAGATCAGACTTGTGGTTACCAGAAGTAGGAAATAGGGAAAAGAGAACTGGATGAAAGTGGTCAAAATGTACAAACCTCCAGATAAATAAGTTAAATAAGTACTAGGGATGTAATATACAACATGACAACTAAAGTTAACACAGCTGTATCTATATGTAAGTCAAATCATTAGACTGGACTCCTTAAATTTATATAGTACTGTATGTTAATTACTGTTTCAATAAAACTAGAAAAAATAAATAAGCCAATTTAAATGCAATAAATAAAACAGAGCTCATAGATAAAAGATATGCCAAACATCTTCAAGCCAATCTCACTTTAGATTGTTCCCTATTTTCCCCATAACTTAGGATAGGGGTGCTGTGCAGCTGCACACTTGAAGCATGAAACTATGCTTAAAATAAATGCCTTCTTGCAGAAAAAAAAATGTTTTAGCTTTCAGCAGGGATTTTGAAGTGAATGGAGCATTCAAAATCAATAGACAGGCAAGAAGTTGGGATCACCTTGCAGCTATACTAATTCTCCTTCCCACACAAAGTGAGATGCTGCCTGCAGGGTTCTTCAGAAGCCTTAGGGCAACTGGTATGCATTTTGGATGGGGAATGAGAAGAATGAGAAGAATGAGAAGAATGAGAATTGGCAACTGTCTCAAGACCTCTTTCCCTCCATCTACAGGTGGGTAGGGTGATTTCAACAGTGTTGGGGAATTCATATATCTGATGTTATGTTTAAGGACAGCTTCATTGTTCATTGGTAATTTTTTCCCAAATTCTGATGAAGAAACTGAATTTCAGATTTACTCACCAAAAATTCATTGACTATCTGCTATATATCAGGCATTATGTTAATTGAAGGCATTTAAAGATGAATAAAGCCTGGCTCTCTGAGCTTGGAACTGAGAGGAAGAAATATATAAATGGATAGTTTGTGAAACCACCTGATGGACGCTAATAGTAGGAAGAGAAATTGTTACATCTGTACTTGGAAAATATAAAGTGAATGTTAATACTGTTGGACCCGGCTCACGGGTGCCAACGTGTCCGGTGGACGCCCCAGAGACCCAGACCCCAGACAGGCAGATGCAGGCAGCAAGAGGGTTTACTGAGCGTTTGCGCAAACGGGCCCTCCGCCTCCGAGGAGGAAAAGAGCCCCGATTAGCAATTACAGGGATCTTTTAAAAGGCAAAAGGAAAGAAACCGCCTAAAGGCAAAAGAACCGCGGGAGTCGGTAGCATCCAGGTTGATTTCACAGAGGGTCAACATGAACCTATTCAGGGACATTCCAATCAGGGTGTGTGGGGGGGGGGAAATGGTTTTCTTACTGTGAACAGAATGCTTTTAATTGCTACAATGTCAGGAAGGCGCCTGGATGGGCTGCCTCTGGGTTAGGGCTGGCCCTACTTACAAGGGGGGAGGTTTCTTCAATACTAACACTGGGAACACAAATAATAAAATGTTGAGATTGGAAAGCAACTCACAAATCACTTATTTCAATTACTTAACTGATATTTGAATCTTTTCCCTCTCCACCATCACTGCTGGGTGGGGTGGGGTAGGGGTGAGAGTCAACTGTTTTAACCACCTCCCATTCTCCCTATTGGTGAGGGAGGGATTCCCATTCTAGGATTAGGAAATGACTGAAACACAGCACCTGACCCCTGGACAGATGAGATGTGCAGTTTATTAATCACACATACTTCTAGCCCAGGGGAGGAGGGCAGCACGTACCACGCACGGCTACATGTTGGTTGCACTCAGGAACAGACTGGGCAAGTGGAGGCTACTAAGCAGGTTTTATAGTATCAACAGAGTGAGGCCTTGGGTTCCTATGAGAGAATGTGATTGGCTTGTTTGAGTACTTGTATGGGCAGGGAACTGAAACCTGCTACTCAGTAATAAGCAGACATTTTTACTTATCCCTCTAATAACAAGGATCATTTGGCTGAGGAATCTTATCTGTGGGAGCACGAAGGGGAAGAGAGCTTGTGACTGGGCCACTGGAGGGTCTCCCAATTCTCCCCAGATGTGAAGAACACATAATGCTGGGCTTTAATTTTAAGACCTTACATGACAATCATCTAGCTCATGTTTGAACAGTCCCTATAATCAGAATTCACTACTGTTTTTTAGCTAATTATTTTTTTAGATAACTGTTTTCTCACTTTATTTCTATAATTTTTCCCCTTGATATTAGTCTGCGTAAAACAACTGTAAACCTACAACCATGAAAGCCTTTCACATATCAACTCTTAGTCATCACAAGAGGTATTTGTTGGCTGCCTCTTAGTTGCCAATCTCTGTTCTGACAAGATCTCAAAATTTCAGCCATGCATTTTGGGAGAGACTGATTATATCTATGATGGTTTATATGTCAGCTTGGTTAGCCTAAATTACCCAGTTATTTAATAAAATACTAATCTAGGTGTTGCTGTGCAGGTATTTTGGAGATGTGGTTACTAATTGGCTCACTTTAAGTAAGGACAATTACCTTTAGTGATGGTGTGTGCCTCATCCAATAGGTGAAAGGCTTTCCAAGAGCAAAACCTGAGGTTTCTCAGTGGAAGAAGAAATTCAGCCTCAAGATTCCAATATTAGTTCCTGGCAGAGAATTTCTAGCCTGATGGCCTGCCCTATCTACTCCAGACTTACCAGTCCCATAATTGTGCAAGCCAATTCCTCAAAGTAAATCCCTTTATAGATTTATACATTATACCCATCAGGATTCTCAGGAGAAAAATAACCAGCAGAAGATTTACACACACATACACATATTATATGTTGACACATATTACGTATATATTTTTATATATAAATTGTGTGTGTATGCATGTATATCTCCTACTGGTTCTGTTTCTCCTGAGAATATTGACAGACATAAAATCTCAGCTTGAGATGTAGATGTGGATTAGCCATGCTAATTTGAACACATCATCCCCGTGCCCCCTATAGTTCGTCCAGAGATTGGCATGTACCACAGTTCTAGTCAATGAGACATGAGAGATATTTCCTAGGAGTTTGGGAAAAGAAAATCACTCTATCAACAAACTACAGAGGAGGAAACAGGTTTTTCATACTCTCGACATGAAAGAAGGAGGACATTGCCCTGATTTGTTGCAGCAGATATCTTGACCCAAAGAAAGGAGGCAGTGGCAGTCAGTTTTGGCCCAAACTGTAGAAAGCAAAATAGAAAAATTAACTAGGCCACTAGATTGAGTCTCACCTAAAATCCAACTTGTCTCAGAATTTTTGAGTTATATGAGCCCATAAATTATGTTCGTTATTAAAACCAGTCAGAATTGCTTTTTCTCTTACAATGGCAAATATCGTAAGTATTAGAGCTATCATGCTCAGTCTTTTCTGAACCATACAACTCTTGTGTCTTCTGATATTCTCCATAAAACGAACAAACAAAACCCTTTCATCATGCTAGTTGCTCTTTTCTGAATATGTTCCCGTTTGCCGAGGTCCCTAGATGTAAATTCCATATGGATCAGCACAGAAAAAATCAATTCTGGTCTTTTCTTGTTATTATATTAATACAGCTCAAGATCCAAATAGTTTTAGAATTTATTTCACATCATTGCCTTATGCTAATACCTTTCAGTCTTTTTAAGTTCTTTTTAAAATTTTTTTTATTTAAATTCAATTTAGTTAACATATATAGTGTATTAGTAGTTTCAGGGGTAGAATTCAGTGATTCATCAGTTGCGAATTACACCCAGTGCTCATCACATCACGTGTCCTCCTTAATGCCTGTCACCCACCCATCCCCCCCATCACCTCCCCTCCAACAACCCTCAGTTTGTTTCTCAGTTAAGAGTCTCTTTGTCCATCCTGTTTTATTTTTCCTTCCTTTCCCCTATGCTCATCTGTTTTGTTTCTTAAATTCCATATATGAGTGAGATCATTTGGTACTTGTCTTTCTCTGACTACCTTATTTTGCTTAGCATAATACCCTCTAGTTCCATCAATGTTGTTTCAAATGATAAGATTTCATCTTTTTGATGGCTGAATAGTATTCCTGTGTGTGTGTGTGTGTGTGTGTGTGTGTGTACGCGCACGCACGTGCACACGTGTGTGCATACCACTTCTTCTTTATCCATTCATCTGTCGATAGACACCTGGGCTCTTTCCATAGCTTG